AAACAATACTTTGACTTTTTGTGGGATAATAATAAAAATAACAATAATAATAATAATAATTTTATAATAATAATATAGTAATAATAATAATAATAATAATAATAATATAATAATAATAATGATAATTTTATATAATAATAATAATAATAATAATAATAATATACATGAAAAAAGAGCTTAGAAAGTTCTCATGGGTAACTAATATTAAAGTTATGAGCTTCAACGTATCTAACCAATGACCCCAAAAGGCATACATAAAAGGCGAATTTATCGTAAATAAATTCCCTTAATCAGCATAGAAAAAAAATTGATAAATATGCATCCATAAACAGAAATTGAACGCCATTTACTGTGACTATCTTGATGAAATCTTATCTGTGACCCCTTTTGCATGTACATCATGGCGGAGGAGGGAAGGCTTGAGAATAAAGTTATATTTTATGAGGATGACACTAATGAGAAATAGATAATAATAAAATAATTTATTCAAAGCTTGTTTTTCTCAAATACTTTTAGTTCAAAAGCAGAGCCACAGGTCAGCCTTATTCATTTCTGTATTCTTTATTCATGAAATCTATATTATGAATATATGCAGAGCCGCAGGAAAGCCATGTATGCATACTAGAATATTCGTATTCATGGATGATCTTTTTATATAATATGCATAGCTACGAAACAGCCGTGTGGATTATTTCTATTCGTATACATCCTATTCATTTTAGTTCATAGGCAGAACTGTAGACCAGGCGTATACATATCGAAAATAAAAGTTGTATTTTATGAGGATGGCAGTAAAAAAAATAGTGTCATGAATGTTCGTTTTTTGGTAAATGATTCTGGTTGATATCAGAGAGGTGTGAGAAGGTTTACAAGAGATGGCCAAAAATTGACCGGAAAAGAGAGTATTTGTAGTGTGTGTGAAAGACTTTTTTGTTATTTGTAAAAGGGTCATAAACGAATTTACTTGGCTTTGACGTTGTTGTTGTCATTGAAATTGTAGTTGTTGTTATTATTATTATTATTATTATTATTATTATTAGTGTGATTATTATTGTTGTTGTTGTTGATATTATTATTATTATTATTATTATTATTGTTATTATTATTATTATTATTATTATTATTATTATTATTATTATTATTATTATTATTAAATATTCAGTGGAACTACAATATATCTGCTGAAGGTTACACATTGGGAAAGTGTTGGTCTTGTTGACTTCTGATATATCGGTCTGTTACTCATTAAACATGCCACTCTTTTTGAACATGGAAATGCTTAAAGAAAGTTAAGAGATTTAAAAGAACTGGAGACTGGTTTGAGGTTGTGATATGTATATATATATATATATATATATATATATATATATATATATATATATATATATATATATATATATATATATATATAGCCATAATACCCCTATTTATCCGCCTTTTACTACACGCAGGGGAGCATGGAGGAGGTATTCTTGCCCCCTCTCTGTGAGAATTCAATGAAATACCTAGATTTCGCAAGAGTCGTGAGGTGTCAGTCGCGAGTTTGAACCTATTATGCCACTGATTTATGTAAGGAAGAACATTCAGTCTTAATCCCCCAACTCTGACCTATTTGCATCCGCCTCCATTGAAAGGGACGAATTGTGACACTTTTAATGATGCATGCACGCACGCACACATACGTACATACACATACATGCGCACACACACACACACACACACACACACACACACACACACTCACTCACTCACTCACTCACTCACTCACTCACTCACTCACTCACTCACTCACTCACTCACTCACTCACTCACACACACACACACACACACACACACACACACACACACATACATACACATTATTGGAATTCGCTAAGCGAGGAGGTAGTTAATGCTAACTCAATCCATAGTTTTAAGGACATGTATGATAAGTATCACTAAGTACAAAATGGAACCGATCAGGAGACGGGAAGATACGAGCTTTGGGCTCTTTCCCTTAAGCACAAGTAGGTAATCACACACACACACACACACACACACACACACACACACACACACACACACACACACACACACACACACACACACACACCAGATCATGGATTGCCTCGAGGTGAGATCTTTTGCTATATCACCAATTATTAAGATAGCTCTATTTGTACATGCATCTCTTTTGATAGTTTGTCTAGATAATGTTTTATCTCTGTATGAAAAAAAAAAGATTGCAATAAATATGGAAGGCGAAAGTAATGAAAATGGAAATAGATAAGATTAGACAGAACATAAAAAAACAAGGTCAAAAGCTGACATTTCTGATTGTCATTACGTGCTCAGTGGGTCAAGATGTCAACTAGGATTTTTTTTTAGTTTTTTTTTTATGATTGTGACAATAATAATAATAATAATAGTAATAATAGTAATAATAATAATAATAATAAACTTTATTTCCATTACAATTCAATGGGTATTCGCCAGCCGGGGCAAGCCCCAACCCCCACTGTGGTGGCCAACCACAGCAGTACCTGCCAGGAAACAGCTTAAACTCTCGGTCTTGGACGGGAACCGATCTTTCGTCGTCGTGAATGCGAAGCCAGCGCGTTACCACTGTACTAGCCAGCAGGCCAAAAAATATTTCCCTTACAGTTACTATTAATTATGATTCTCTTCCCGTTTTTATGTGTGTATTAATCACCAGTCGCATGGGGGACGTGCTAATGCTGGAGAATTATATTTGGATTCCCTTCCTAACGCCCCATGGTGAGATCAAACAGGGGTTTTTGAAGCTGGAGTTTCCTTTATTATGACTTTTTATTCTGGTTTTACGTCACGGACTCCCTTTTTCTACCAAGGGCTGGCACGGTTGCCTTCTTGCGAAGGACTTGTTTTGGCAGATGTAATCGTTACCCTGAGTGCATGCTCTTGCTAAATTCAGACCGTGACGATGCGCGAACCTTCGACCTGACGTCTCAAAGTCGCGGACGCTACCGCTTGAGCCACGGTGAGCGTATATTTGATGACAGACGCCGTAGAGAGCCAGTATGGGTAATACCAGAGAACCGATCTAATTATTTCGTATTTTCTTGGGATTCCTAAGAATATGTGTAGCGGTGGAAACGGGTGGTTAGTTCCATATTAATTTGTAAATTTTCCTTGTCATTAAACCACGGGAGTTGTGATTAGTTTCATATATATATATATATATATATATATATATATATATATATATATATATATATATATATATATATATATATGAGAGAGAGAGAGAGAGAGAGAGAGAGAGAGAGAGAGAGAGAGAGAGAGAGAGAGAGAGAGAGGAGAGTAGATACACCCAAGCAATCCATTGCACATAGGACATTTTCCTCTCTCTCTCTCTCTCTCTCTCTCTCTCTCTCTCTCTCTCTCTCTCTCTCTCTCTCTCTCTCTCTCTCTCTCTCTCTCTCTCTCATTCACGCGTTCTTTTTCATGTTTCATTCATTATTTTCATCCTCCTGAGATATTTATGAAGTCCTTGAACCCGATTTCTTAAACAGTGTAAACCTAGGATACCATATTGTTAGTTAGCTAGACACACAAATGGATTTCATTGAACCGCGTCAGATGCGTTTATGAAATCCATTTGTGTGCCTAGGGATCCTAGCCATACACAGAACCGCGTCAGATGCGTTTATGAAATCCATTTGTGTGTCTCTAGGGATCCTAGCCATACACAGAACCGCGTCAGATGCGTTTATGAAATCCAGTTGTGTGTGTCTAGCTAACTAACAACATGTTATCCTAGGCTTACACTGTTTAAGAAATCGGGCCCTTTTCATTCAATTTCCTCCCCTGCTTTCTCCTTCAAAATATTTTTTTCATCTTCTTCACCCTCTCTTACTCTATCTCATCGCTGTTTTAATATGGTCTCCTCTTTATTGTTTCTTTTCTTTTCTATTTACATATTTATCGTCGTCGCTCTTTTTCTCTCCGTCTCGCTTCGCTGGTTTCGCAGGCAGCAAAACATTTCGCACCTCCACTATCTCAGCTCTCATCAGGGCCGAGTCGTTTATCTCAAGACAGAAGATTTCTCGTCTCTTTTTTATTTTCTACTTTGGTCTCCTTCTCTCTTTCCTTCTCTATTCAGATATTTTTCGTTGTCTCTATAATAAATGTTTGATATGAAGAAAATGGAAAAATAAAAATAGATTCATATATGAAGAATAATTAGAGACAGAAAATGTTTATTTAATCAGCTATGTAAATATTCTCTCTCTCTCTCTCTCTCTCTCTCTCTCTCTCTCTCTCTCTCTCTCTCTCTCTCTCTCTCTCTCTCCTCTCTCTCTCTCTCTCTCTCTCTGTGTGTGTGTGTGTATTCGTTCGTATGTCTTAGTCGTTTGTTATTGATCTCTCTCTTCATGACAGAAAACATCTTTTCCTTCTTAAAAACAATTAGTTCCATTCTCATACCTACTTACCCCTTTAGCATTACACATGAATCGTGGTTTACATACATTATCTGATCTTTGTGCTTGACTGACCACCACATCCACTTTGGTAGCACATTGTGTCGTTTTTCCTTTTGCTGGGTGGCATTTATTTATGTTCTTGACCGTATTTACACATATCTGTGTCCACCCCCATTCGAATGGGGACTAATAATGACACATAAAACGGTGCATTGTATTTACGCATTTTATTTGTTTTATATTATTTATTATTGGTAATTTCTGGATGTCAAACGTCATATTTTTTAGTGAAAAGGATGCTGGAATGGAACTAATTTTAGAAAATACTTTGCAATATCACATATAAATGGTCTATTAATTAATTTATTTATTTATTTTGTTTTATTCAATATAAATATTTATTCATTAATCTACTTAATATATTCTGTTTGTGTATAATCAACTTTACGTCACGGATTCCTTTTTCTATTAAGGGCTAGGACGGTGCCTTCTTGCGAAGAACTATGGTTTTGGCATGTGTGACTATTACCCTGATTGGATGCCTTTTCTAACCTCTGACCATGGCGGGTTTCGAGCCCACGACCTGACGAATCAAAGTCGTTAGCATTACCCCTCTGCCACGGTGTCACTTTTTTCCTAGCCCTTAGTAGAAAAGGGAGTTCGTGACGTAAAACCGAATCCATCCATCCTATATTATGTATTAAAGTAAATTTGTCGCGAGATCACTAACCATATGATTATTTTCACACAAAATAATTAATTTTCACTGGGGACCAATTTTGACTCAAAACGGTGATTATATAATATTACATATTAATTACTGAGATGGTTTGGGTATGTGTTGAGGAGGGATGAGGATTATATTAAGAGAAGGCTGCTGAGGACGGAGCTGCCAGGCGGAATGGGAAGAGGTAGACCTAAGAGGAGATTTATGGATGTGGTGAGGGAGGACTTGAGAATGTGTGGTGTGATAGAGGAGGACGCAGGGGACGGGAGCTGCCAGGCGGAATGGGAAAAGGTAGACCTAAAAGGAGATTTATGGATGTGGTGAGGGAGGACATGAGGATGTGTGTGGTGTGATAGAGGAGGACGCATGAGACGGGATGATACGGAGACGATTGAGCCGGTGTGGCGACCCCTGACGGAAAAAATCCGAGAGATTTGATGATGATGTCACTGACATGATAATTATTGAAGTCGTGTGTACGATATCAACGTAGCTCTTTGTTGTTGTTTATTAGTCATGCAAACAAGATAATTGCTTCAATCAGGTATTATGTATAGCAATTAGTGAACAATGAAGACGTTATGTTTAGTAATTAGTGACTAATGGAGGCTATTAGTTGTCGTCAATATATCTTCTTTGTGTTCCGCGTCATATATCGCTATTTTTCCCAGTTCGAATGAAAGTGGACTCAGACAGGTTGGAGCTGAGGAATTAAGGCTGGATGCCCTTCCTAACGCCTGGCGTTGGACTCGAACACGCTGAAAACTGAATTGCTGTACTAACATGATGCATATAGTTTTTAGCCAATTTTACTGATATTTATAGATTAGTTTTAGCCGATTTTCCTGATATTTACAAATTAGTTTTTAGTCAATTTTCCTAATATTTACAAATTAGTTTTAGCCAATTTTCCTGATATTTTCAAATTAGTTTTAGCCAATTTTCTTGATATTTACAAATTAGTTTTTAGCCAATTTTCCTGATATTTACAAATTAGTTTTTAGCCAATTTTCCTGATATTTACAAATTAGTTTTCCATTTGACAGGAGCAGTTTAAGAGATATTTAAAGTTCGTATTTTCCTCCAAGGAGCTAAGTGGAGTGATCGAAGTGTTCGTATTACTTTGCAGCGCCTGTTAGCACAGTAAACTGGTACGGGTGAGTTTGGGCGTGCCATTTGAAGAAGTGGTGGGAGCAAACCAGCTGCGGCTGTCGGGTATCACTGCAGAAGAATGTTACCATTTATTCTGGTGATGACCCAAGCAGGGTAGTAGGGGATGGTGGCAATCCTCTTAACCCCAAAGAACTAAGTGGGGGTGATCAAGGTATATTAGTTCTGGTGAATGTGTGTGCTTTGACTTGGCCACTCCCCCTACAAGGGACGAGGACAGGGAATTAGGTTATGTTTATTGGAAATTTTAGGAAGAGAGAGATTAAATATTACACATTCTTCCTCAGTCTTGAATTATGGCTTAGTTCATTCAGAAGTGAACATTTTGAACTTCCTCAGTCTTGAATTCTGGCTTAGTTCGTTCCGAAGTGAACATTTTGAACTTCCCCAGTCTTGAATTTTGGCTTAGTTCTTTCCGAAGTGAACATTTTGAACTTCCTCAGTCTTGAATTATGGCTTAGTTCGTTCAGCAGTGACCATCTTAACTTCCTCAGTCTTGAATTATGGTTTTGTTCATTCAGTAGTGAACATTTTGAACTTCCTCAGTCTTGAATTATGGCTTAGTTCGTTCCGAAGTGAACATTTTGAACTTCCTCAGTCTTTAATTATGGCTTAGTTCGTTCCGAAGTGAACATTTTGAACTTCCTCAGTCTTGAATTATGGCTTAGTTCGTTCAGTAGTGAACATTTTGAACTTCCTCAGTCTTGAATTATGGCTTAGTTCGTTCCGAAGTGAACATTTTGAACTTCCTCAGTCTTGAATTATGGCTTTATTCATTCAGTAGTGAACATTCTGATCTTCCTCAGTCTTGAATTATGGCTTAGTTCGTTCCGAAGTGAACATTTTAAGCTTCCGCAGTCTTGAATTATGGCTTAGTTCGTTCCGAAGTAAACATTTTGAACTTCCTCAGTCTTGAATTATGGCTTAGTTCGTTCCGAAGTGAACATTTTGAACTTCCTCAGTCTTGAATTATGGCTTAGTTCGTTTCGAAGTGAACATTTTAAATATTGAGGACACCCAAAAAGTAGATGTTTTTCTTTGCCGTTTCATGTGTCACTGTTAGTTCCCATTTGAATAAGGGTGGACATAGACAGCTTAGAGCTGGGGAATTAAAGCTTGATTCCTTTCCTAACGCCTCGCGAAGGACTTGAATTCGGGTAGCACTTTCCAAGTTGAATGAGTTAACCACAGTGCTATATCAATTCCCGAACCATAGAAGTCAAAATATAAACTCTTTTGTTGACTGTTTGCAATAGGAAGACTCTCTCTCTCTCTCTCTCTCTCTCTCTCTCTCTCTCTCTCTCTCTCTCTCTCTCTCTCTCTCTCTCTCTCTCTCTCTCTCTCTCTCTCTCTCTCTCTCTCTCTCTCTCTCTCTCTCTCACACACACACACACACACACACACACACACATATGTAATCAGATACATAATGTCTTGATAACTGAAATAATAATGAGAATAATAATTTGGCCAGAAAAAAAAGTCATGAGAGAGAGAAAAAAAGGAACAGCCGCACAATTGAGGCTGTCAATGACATAGGAAAAGATGGCCGCACTGATAAGAAATCCCTGATCATGTTTTATTGAAATTTATTTGAATAATAATTCACAATAGAAAAAGGGAGACGAAAGTGGCCAAGAGTTTATTGCATGTTAGAGGTGCATTTGTCGTAACTGACACTGCATTTCTTATTGTTAATTGGGTGCGTAATATGCAGTTTGGCAATGCAAGATGCAAGTTATAAGTATATCCAGAGAGAATTTTAATTTCTTCTCAGTGGTGACTCTAGGATTTTTATTTTATTTTATTTTTATTATATTTTTATTTTTATTATTTTACTTTTTTCTAATTGCATTTTATCCAGGTGTTGGGAGCCTCGGTAGCTCAGTAGTAGAGTGCACAAGTTGGGAGGTGAATAACGGGGTTTCGATCTTATCGCGTGGCGTTAGGAAGGGTATCTAACATAAAACGATGAATTCTATATCCAGCTGTGTGTGATTTCTTATGCTCCTAGATTCAGTCTTTCGTAAGGCGCATAAGTCGCTTTTATATTTATTTATTTATTTATTTTTTCACTTACTTTCTTTTTATTTATTCAGTTTTATTTGCAATTGCTTATATATTATATCTGGTAACAAAATGTGTTATAAAGGTTTGCTTGGAATGACGAGAATGGACAAGATAGAGAATGAGTATATCAGAGGGACGGCGCCGATAGTGCGATTTAGGTATCTGGTGAGAATGAGATGGTTTGGGCGTATGCTGAGAAGGGATGAGGGTTATGTTGGAAGAATGATACTGTGGATGGAGCTGCCAGACAGAAGGGAGAGAGGTAGACCAAAGAAGAAGTTAATGGATGTCGTGAGGTAGGACAGGAGGAGTTTGAGCGACGTAGAGACAATTGGTCATGTGGCTATCCCTGACTAGAGAAAATGAAAGTTGATAATTTTTTTTCTCTGTACCATTAAGGTATCTGTAATGTAAAACGCTTGTTTGGCTAAGTTACCTGGCAATAGCCATAACTGTCTTTTTTTTTATTTCTGTTAATGGATCCAGTTATCCAAGCACTCTATAAATGATAAATTGTTGTTAATTAGTCTAGTACTAACCTAAATATAGCTAAGAATGTTTGCAGAGAGCAAGGATTTTTAATTATCCCCACATTGTCATTTGTCTTAATAGATTAGATATGTCCACTGGATCTCTATTATGTGTAATTCTGCACCTTTCTGGCTTACGCTAAGAATCTCGTTTTTTTTTTCAATTCATTTAGCTACCAGAAGCTATGTAAGGTAAGAGAGATACATGTTATAGCAACAATTTCAGTTAGCCACTATGAATTACTGTCTGGCTGAGATAAGGACCACTCAGGTTACTTTGTTCAGGAGTGAGTTGCTTTAGTTGTTGTTCTGGTTTTACGTCACGGACTCCCTTTTCTACCAAGGGCTAGGACGGTTGCCTTCTTGCGAAGGACTTGTTGTGGCTGATGTAATCCTTACCCTGAGTGCATGCCCTTGGTAACCTCAGACCGTGACGGGGCGCGAACCCTCGACTTGACTCCTCAGAGTCGCGGACGCTACCGCTTGAGCCACGGTGACTACTGTGAGTGAGTTGCTTTAGTGTCAAGCACCTATTTAGATAAAATGTTCTTAGACTCTCTTCTAAGTGAACTTGATGGGACTCTCTGTGTAATTTCGAGATTCTATCTACGTCTGTTAAGTATCTATTTAGATAAAGTGTTATTGAACTCGCTTCTAGCTTTAATCCCCCAGCCCTAACATGTCTCCGTCCTCTCCCATTCGAATAGCGATAAAATAATTGTGACACATCAAGGGGTTTTAGAAGCCGCGGTAGCTCAGTGGTATAGCTAGCGATACGCGAAGCGACTGGCGTAGGTTCGAGCGAACCACAGATCGTTCCGAAGGGCATCCAGTCTTAATCACCTTGCTCCAACCTATGCGTCCACCCCCTTTTGAATGGGGACTAATTGTGGCACAAAACTGTGCATAAACCTCATGTATTGGCGTATTTTTCTTCAGTTGAGTGACTGATTTTGGGCTTATCTGAGTTATTTAAGCGAAATAGTAGTCACCGTGGCCCAGGCGGTAACGTCCGCGACTCTGAGGCGTCAGGTCGAGGGTTCGCGCCCGGCCACGGTCTGAGGTTAACATGGGCATGCACTCAAGGTAACGATTACATATGCCAAAACAAGTCCTTCGCAAGAAGGCAA